GCGCCACGTAAACATAAAACCATGTCTGCATTTGTGATCGGAGTTTGATCAATCTCGCGTTTGAATCGTCAGTGGCAAATTCTTTAAATATAAAAATGTACTTACAGTCTGTGAGTCAGAACAGCCGGCATTGTAGTCTACTCTCCCAGGATCAGGAAACAGTCCTCCATAAATGCACTTGACACATTGGAATATTTGGGTTGAACTGTTCTGGAACAGTGTTGTAAATACAACTTAACCACTGATTCCTAGTCGTGTCCTCTTTTGGAAGGCCAAACAAAGTAGTTTCGCTTTCACAACGAAACACAGCGTCATACATGGCGGGCTAGAGTGAGTGGAGGCCGGAGGCCTAGAGTGAGCAGAGGCCGGCTTGAGTGAGCGGTGGTGGCGGCGGGCTTGCGGCAACCATATGTGGCGACCCTGGGCTGGACTCCGCTTCGTCCATGGTGAAAGCCAATCTGTCAATCCACAGCGTGAAGTTGATGTATTTCCTCAGCGACCAGCACAGATCAGCTCCAGGCATGACGAAGCGGACATCGTCCTCTTTTGGAAGGCCAAACAAAGTAGTTTCGCTTTCACAATGAAACACACAGCGCCTTTACGACATGGCGGCGGCAACAACAATACTACAGCGAGAATAAAAGTTACACCTTCTTTCTTTGCGTGAACATTTGGGCAGCGTTATGCAAATCTTCCCACATCGTGACGTAGACATGTGGGGGCATGTTAGAATGAGCCATTTTAGGTAGGCGTGGTTGACTCTTAACTTTTATAAAGAATATCTCTTTGGATCTGAGACTTTAGTCTTTGCAACTTTACAGATCTTCTTTATGCATCAAGAGCTTGTAACTTGTAAAAATTGAAATCGCATCATATCACCCCTTTAATATAACTCCGACTGGATTTGTCTGAAAGAAGAAAGTCATATACACCTAGGATGCCTTGAGGGTGAGTAATTTATGGGCCAATTTGGGTTTTAATTTTTGGGTGAACTAACCCTTTAAGTGGACAGTGGCCAGTAAAACGCCTAATGAATGAGTTCATCATTTGTGTTGTGAAGTATGCGAATAATGACGATAAAAATAACCAGACTTCTTAGCAAATAATCAGAATAATGAAATAGCATGTAAACTGGAGTGAAGAGGTTTGTTCGTGTCATGTGAACATCTTACTGCGATTAACGTGATCATCAGTGGTGTGCAGTGGTGTTCTGAAATGGGGAGGCGAAGTCCCCCTTTTTTTATAAATAAATTCATGTCCCAGTCACATTTTCTTGGTTAAATAAACATTACTTACACTATCAGAAAAAAAATCTATTTTATATTTTTACATTAACAATGTAATCAATATTCTATTTATTAAAGCCAAGTATGAATCTCATCAAGTTTTTTTAATCAAGTGTCATCAAGTGTTTTTAAGCATTTTACATTTATTCCAAAATAATAACTCAAAGCAGTGACGATTTAAACAATATATTTTATTTGTGAACTTTTGTTCAGCTATTCAGTTTAATAGTTAACTTTTAACTATTTTTGAATTTTTCGGATCATCAGTCATCAAAGCTCGGTAAATGTTACATGTCCCACCAGAGACAGTAATATACTGGATCACTGTTACACAGCAATAAAGGATGCGTATCACTCTGTCCCACGGGCAGCTTTGGGGCTCTCTGATCACTGCCTGGTTCATCTTATACCAACCTACAGGCAAAAACTTAAATCTGCTAAACCTCTAGTAAAGACTATAAAGAGATGGACCAACAAAACAGAGTGGGTTTTACAAGCCTGTTTCGACTCCACTGATTGGAGTGTTTTTGAAGCTGCTACCACCGATCTGGACGAACTCACAGAGACTGTAACATCCTATATTAGTTTCTGTGAAGATATATGCATTCCTACCAGGACTTATTTAACATTCAACAATGATAAGCCATGGTTTACAGCAAAACTCAGACATCTTTGTCAGGCCAAAGAGGATGCCTACAGAAATGGGGACCGAGTATTGTACAATCAGGCCAGGAACGCACTGAATAAGGAGATTAGAGTGGCTAAAACGTTGGAAGATCAGTTCACTTCCAATGACTCAGCTTCAGTGTGGAAAGGTCTGAAAGCCATCACCAACTACAAGACACCATCCCCCAGCACTGAGGCAAATCAACAACTTGCTGACTTGCCTGAATGAGTTTTATTGTAGATTTGAAACCCCCCACACCCATTCTGACCATCTCTCTACACAACCGTTAACACCTCCTGTAACCCCCCTCTCCCCCAATCCTGCACTTCAGATCAGTGAAGATGATGTGCTTCAGGTCTTCAGAAAGAACAAGAGAAGAAAGGCACCAGGCCCAGACGGTGTGACACCAACCTGTCTGAAAACCTGCTCTGACCAGCTGGCCCCCATCTTTTCACAGATCTTCAATAGATCTCTGGAGTTGTGTAAAGTCCCTTCCTGCTGCAAACGCTCCACTATCATCCCCGTTCCAAAGAAAACCCAAGATAACAGGACTTAACGACTACAGGCACTAACGTCTGTCGTCATGAAGTTGTTCGAAAAACTGGTTCTGGCTTATCTGAAGGACAACACTGGACCCTTACTGGACTCCTGAAGTTTGCTTACTGAGCAAACAGGTCAGTGGATGATGCAGTCAACATGGGACTGCACTTCATCCTGCAACATGTGGACAAAACAGGGACTTATGTGAGGATCCTGTTTGTGGACTTCAGTTCAGCCTTCAACACCATCATCCCAACACTTCTCCAGACCAAACTGACCCACCTCTCTGTCCCTAGCTCTATCTGTCAGTGGATCACCAGCTTTCTGACAGATAGGCAGCAGCTAGTGAGACTGGGGAAATTAATGTCAAACAGCCGCTCCACCAACACTGGTGCCCCTCAAGGTTGCGTCCTCTTCCCACTGCTCTTCTCCCTGTACACCAACGACTGCACCTCTAAAGACCCCTCTGTCAAGCTCCTGAAGTTCGCAGACGACACTTCAGTCATCGGTCTCATCCAGGACAGCGACGAGTCTGCTTACAGACAAGAGGTTGAGCAGCTGGCTGTCTGGTGCAGTCTTAACAACCTGGAGCTGAAAACGCTCAAAACAGTGGAGATGATAGTGGACTTCAGGAGAAACCCCCCTGCACTCTCCCAACTCACCATCATAGACAGCACTGTGGCTGCAGTGGAGACATTCAAGTTCCTGGGCACCACTATCTCTCAGGACCAGAAGTGGGACACTCTCATCGACTCCATTGTAAAAAAGGAAATTTACATTGTAAATTGTTCCTTCGTCAGCTGAGGAAGTTTAACCTGCCACAGGAGCTGCTGAAACAGTTCTACTCAGCCGTCATTGAGTCTGTCCTGTGCACTTCAATAACTGTCTGGTTTGGTTCAGCTACAAGATCAGACATCAGAAGACTACAGAGAACAGAGAACTGCTGAAAGGATTATTGGTGCTCCCCTGCCCACCCTTCAAGAACTATATACATCCAGAGTGAGGAAAAGGGCTCAGAAAATCTCTCTGGATCCCTCACATCCAAGTTATCCCCTTTTTTAACTTTTGTCATCTGGCCGGCGCTACAGAGCCCCAAATACCAGGACAGCCAGGCACAAGAACATTTTCTTCCCCCAGGCAATCTACCTTATGAAGTTCCCCACATTATGCAATAAAAATCTGCAATAATCTTATATTTATTTGTTACCACCTCCATCCTAGTACATCCCTGCATCTCATTCTATTATATTCCCTTCTATCATCTATAGCACAACTGTACATACAATTTATTTATATTTACATATGTGTATTTCCCTTTCATGGGAACTTCGAACTGCATCCTCTAGGGGTCGCTATGGGGAACGCCTCGTCGTGACCCTGTGTCTGAAGCATACATTGAAAAAACACCAACTCGTTGGCCGGCGACAGCCATGACGTCACTACCGGTGCGACTATAGTATAAATAGGTGCCGGGAGCACACATCATTCTCTTCTTCGTCTTCATAGACTGTTTTGTTTGAAGCATGCATTTCTGTGGTAAGAGTGATCTATTCATCTCATTATGGCGAGCACTAGCAAAGCATTTAAGGATGTGTGCATCAGTGTTGACGTTGTTTGACATCTGATGACACACACGATCTATGCATTATTTGGCAATCGGCGTGCACGGCGAGCGTTTTTTCCAAGGGAAAAGCTCCGCTCTCGTTTGTCTCTTTTTTCGAGGAAAGGACCCAGGACCCGCCGCTGCTGAGGCACGGAAGGGAATGAGCTCGTGGGGATCGCAGGTGGATCTGGCCGATGAGTTTGATGGGGGGTTTCCTTTTCACGATCGTCGGCTGTGCACGAGAGTGAGCCGCTGGAGGATGATGTTATTTCATTAACATTGTCTGATTCAGGGGCCAGTGCTCTGCTGGGATCAGCCCAGCAAAAGCAGGAAATGTATGAGGAGGGCAAAGGAAAAAATTGGGACACATATAAACCATATATTGTCTCAATCATGTGTTTATTGTCAACATGAGCAGATCTAAATCAACTGGCAGAAACATAAATCTGCGCCTATGGATACAAATATATAATTTTCTATTCAATTCAAGTTTATTTGTATAGTGCTTTTCACGATACTAATCATTGCAAAGCAACTTTGCAGCAAATTATATGAGTTTGTGGATATGCTCGGCCCTGGCAGCTTTTAGTACCTGTTATTCCACGCAATTCTAAAAACTTCCAGGTTAGTTTTTCTCCATTTGCGCTCAAGACTACGAGTTTCTTTCTTGAGAGAATGGGTATTACTGTTGTACCATGGCACAGTACGTTTTTCTCTAACCTTTTTCAATTTGATGGGGGATAGTGCCCATGTTGCTAGTCATTTCGTCTAGTTCATGTGCATTTATGGGTACAGAGAGCAGTTGAGATAAATCAGGCAGGTTATTTGTGAATCTGTCTTTGGTGGCTGGAACAATAGTTCTGCCCGGACGATAATGCGGAGCCATATAGTTAATATCAGTAATACGCAGCATGCACGATAAAAGGAAATGGTCAGTAACAAAATCACTTTGAGCTACGATATCTATATCAGTAAGATCAATTCCATGCGATATAATTCAATCTAGCGTATGATTTAAACGATGAGTGGGTCCGGTGATGTTTTGCTTGACTCCAAAAGAGTTTATTAGGTCGGTAAACGCAATTCCTAATCCATCAATTGTATTATCAACGTGAATATTAAAATCTTCGACAATTAGCGCTTTATCAACAGTAACCAATAGGTCTGAGAGGAAATCTGCAAATTCTTTTAGGAAATCTGTATACGGCCCTGGAGGTCTATACACAGTAGCCAGAGCAAGAGATACGATAGATTTATTTTGCATATCTGACAGTGTAACATTAAGCAAAAGTATTTTGAATGAGTTAAACCTGTATCCTGTCTTCTGAGTAACATTGAGAATATCACTATATATTGTTGCTATACGGCCCTGGCGTTCTATACACAGTAGCCAGAGCAAGAGATAAGATAGATTTCTTTTGCATATCTGACAGTGTAACATTAAGCAAAAGTATTTTGAATGAGTTAAACCTGTATCCTGTCTTCTGAGTAACATTGAGAATATCACTATATATTGTTGCAACACCGCTGCCACGACCAGTTTGACGGGGCTCCTGCTTATAACAGTAGCTTGGTGGAGTAGACTCATTTAGACCAATATCATTTTCATTATTCCAATCATTTTCGCTTAAGTACTTTTATAAAATCACACAATGAAAAGTAAACTTCAGAGAAACACATAACTTAAACATTTAGTCAAACTCAATTGCAATAATAATCTGTTTAAATAGGAGCAATTTTTAATTTAAGAATGACAGAACAAATTGACAATTTTTTAGCAAACCAATCTTTTATGGTATAAATATAAACTATAAACCTCATATATTGTTATACTCATATATTGACAAACTTTTTGTTTGTCTTTTGCTCAAGTACTTTCTAAAATCACACTGAACCAAACTAACCTTGCACCCTTGGTGAGCAGAAGAGACTTCTTCTGAAAACATAAAAAAAAAATCATAATTATTCCAAACTTTTGAGCAGTAGTGTACACTAATGAGGGGAGAAATTAACCTTTTCGAAACCTTAAATCAGTTGAACCAAGTGCTTCGCAAAATAAAATTGGAACATTGGAAAACAAATGTGTCATTAAATGTGCACAAATGTATAAAACTGATCTGAGATCAGGTAAAAACCATGGATTAAGCATCATCATCATCATCATTATGTGTCTCCTCAGAGATACTCTCAGGCCAGCGACAGCTTTCTGAAGAGTGATCACCCTGCGGTGGCCCGTGTGAAGCCGCGTGTCCCATCTTCATTCCCGGGAACCTTCCCTCCTCAGTCTCCCGCCTCAGATCCGAGCCCAAACCCGACCCCGCGCCCGCAGGCCAATGGAGAGACCACTGATGCTCCGCACAACGAGTACATCATCCCCATCCCCGATCCCAAATCGGAGGAGGAGACCCAGGACGAGCCGGTGCTGACGGAAATCCCCTCGAGGTAACGCTGACTTCCTGTGTGCTCAAAAATAAATCAGACTACCGCAGAGGATGAAGGAAAGATGAGACATCACCTCTTCCTCTTCTTTACACAGGGGGATCACTTCTCTTTTTATTCAAAAACCGCATGATTAATCTGTTCATCTGTTCAAATGGGAGTAATTTTACCATGAGAATGAGAGCATGTACTTAAACTGTGATTGATTGATTGATTGATTTTACTTTTATTTATTTGGTCAATCAACATATGCATTCATGGTATAAATTTGTTTGTTATGTGTGTTCAGTGTTTTTTATAATTAATATTTATACATTTTGATAATTTAATATGATAAAATATAAAAGATAAATATAAAAAATATAACATTAATGTGATGAATTATCAATATCAGTGTGTGTGTGTGTGTGTGTGTGTGTGTGTATGTATATATATATATATATATATATATATATAGCCTTTGTTTTATTATATAAAACATAAAAGATAAAATATATATTTTGACATGTATTCATTTGATCAAGTGGCATAGGCATATATATTTTGTTTTTTTAAATTAATTTATTAAGATGTATGTTCCATATTTTTATAATAAATATTTATGTAATATGATACAATGCAAAAGTATATAATATAAATAATATTAATGTGATTAATTTTGATATTTATGTATTTAATACAATGTGTTATATAATATAATATATTGTATGTATATATATATATATATATATATATTATATTTAGATATAATATAAATATTGTATTTGTAACAAATAATTTATCACATTAACTATGAATATGTTCCTCAGTTTTCAATACTATTTATACTGTTTTATCATCTTATATATTTTATAGTACATTTAGTTCATTAGAAGATTAATTAATTAACTTTTAAGATCTTCTAGATGGATGTAAAAATGACTTACAGTAGAAATCCTCTTTTAAAGAATGTGCTCTTTGTTAACGGCTCCTCCTGGAGATTCAGACTTTATAACAGTGTGTGTGTGTGTGTGTGTGTGTGTGTGTGTGTGTGTGTGTGTGTTAGTGTTATGAAA